TGCGGAAGTACAGGTATGCCTCACAGCAAAGCACGTTACATTGAGATTTCATTTAGCTTCTTATTTGTAGAATGAAAGCGAAGGTTGAGTTCTGGAAATTGTTTGTGAGATTTGGTCGTTCTTCTGAAGTCAGTTTGGAAGAATATCACAGAATGTATTTTAACTGAAAGGGATTGCCCTTCAATAACTCTTATTTTCGAAACTATACGAGAAATGGCATAAAAGTCTCGGCCCGTATTTTATAAACTTCAAAGATTTATTAGTAAAAACTCCATGATATAGATCCAACATCCACTCTTACTAGGCTACCTATACCTTTCTATCAAACAACTTCGAAGAGCCCCACATGGCTATCTTATACTGCGGTTAGAGTCCATGAAGTTAGACCTTGCGCCGACCGACCAGTGCTTGTATTACGGCTACCGTTACATCATCTCCTGCTAGCCAAAACTGAATCAAATAACTAAATATAACCTTTTTCAGACTCATAATATACACAAATGTTGTCTCACCAAATATTTTGCCGATAACACATCATTCCCTGTTTCAACATTTTCATTCCAAGGACCAAGAGATAATTTCTTTGCGACCTTTAGTTCATGATTTATAAGTATAGTCCTGCAGCTATATGCAGGCTACGCCTAAAGCTTAGCTAGAATAGCGCTGTATGCATTACATGCAAGTAAACTGATAACCTGAGCTGCATTTCGTCCGTTTTATTTTCATTCCATTTAATCGAAACCCGAAGCGACACTGCGTTCCACTCCCGAGATAGTCCCTTATTCAAACAGCCTCAGAAGTATCCTTACATTTAGGGTAGAATTCTTACGTATCTGAGGTATCTCATTTGTATAAGAATACGACGACAAGCTTTTTACGCACTTTCTCTTAATTAGATAAAATCTGAGAATATCAACTACCTCTTAGCCCCCCCCAATGCTTTTTATAGAATACCCTTTTTTGCTAAGACTTTCTCTGAGCAAAAAACATACGAGAAAGTAAGGAATTGCCATGATTAAGAAGTTTAATTAATATGGGTCCTGGACTTTTGTGTGCAATTCAATATAGGCCTATGCATGTCCGGGTGCAGTAAACAGCTGACTTAGTTTCAACAAGATTGACCAAGACAATTTACTTCTAAATGGTGAATTCAAAACCGTTATTATACACCGATTTCTTTCTACTACATAATCGACCTTGGGCCTAAAACAAAGGATGTTGTATTGTCCTTTAGGTGCCAAAACATGGGTCGGTCGGTCGGAATTTTTGTTTGTTAAACTCTTCTTTTTATATTTTGTCTCCCTCTTTGTGCTGATATTTTTCAATTTTAAATACCTCCATATTTTTTTCTCTAAAGATCGTTTTCTTTATATTTTTTGTTTAAGCCATCCGTAGATTTCAAGCTATTTGGGTAGGTTGCAAAGGGCAATACAGCATTTTTTGGTAGGCCTTATTTCAATAGCTTCCAGACAGTTTCTCACACAATTTCAATGTCATTAACTTTACATGTTAGCATAAATATAAAGGTATAAAGAAAATGCTAACTCTCTTTCATCTTTTTGTCCCTGTTAATTGCCTTGAGGAAATAAGGTCTATTTTTACTGTCATGTTTAATTGGGTTCTCTACAACTACAGGAGATCAGCAAATGAGGCTAGTAGTCAGCAGCAAGGGACAGCGAAACAAAACTGTTACAACGGACCACAACATGGTGAGGAAGGTTGCTTGGAACTTAACGTTGTCCCTCCCAAGCTACCAGAGAGATCTTCACGTGATCAGGCTGAAACATACGAAACGCCACGACATGCTGATGATGGAGATGTTTATGAAGATATTAAGATCTAAGAAGAAGAAGAAGATTTTTCTTTTTATAGTAGTACTACGATTGCTCTTCTTTTCTCCCTTTACCTCTCCCCTTTCCATTTCTCTACTCTTATTACTCTTCCTACCTCTCTACCCGTCCGCCTTTTATGTTTTACCTCCTTTTTCTCTCTCTTTTAGTTATCTTTCTCTGTTCTGAAAATATATATACATTTTGAAGAACAACGGGACGAATCAATCTTTCACAAACGAATGATTTAGTTGTTGACTGTATTGGTATATTCATATAGTATACAGTACTCTGACATATGTATTTCTTGAAAAGCCTTATTATAATATGCACCATTTACTCAGAGATTTATTGAAGGTAAGCATAATTATATATATGATTAGTACTCAAGATTAATTTAAATAACCGAAAAGGATTAACGGTTTTGTTTGTGCGTTCTATATTCTTAAAAATAAGCATTCTAGATTTAGGCATTTAAGGTGCATAAGAGCTCAGTATAAACATTTTGAATGGAGGATATGTACCAAGATTTACTCAGAAACTAATTGAATGAAGCATAATTATATATATGATGAGTACTCAAGATTATGTTAATTAACCAAAAAGGATTAACGCTTATGCTTGTGCATGGTATATTCTTAAATAAAATCTTTCAAGATTTAGGCATTTAAGGTGCATAAGAGCTCAGTATATACGTTTTAAATAGAGGATATATACCAAGGTTTACTCAGAAACTAATTGAATGAAGCATAATTATATATAATAAGAGTCTTCTTCTATGTGTCATATCCTGAGACGTTGGCGACCATGGAGTGCCACAACTCTCTACCCCATATTCTATGAAGTAATTCATTCTCCCCGAGATCAATTCCACATTAAGAAATCCCACTTCTTAAGCTACTCATCAACAGAATCCTCCTTCTACCCCTACTCCTCCTCCCCTCGATTCTTCCAGTCAGGCCAAGATTTTCCAAACCATTCTTCCGTATAACATGGCCCAAGAAGCTCAGCTGTCGACCTCTTATATTATTCAGAAGCTTTCGTCTTGTTCCTGCCATGGCAAATACCTCATCATTAGAAATTCTTTTTGTCTATGAAATTGTTAGCATCCTTTTCAGGAACCAAACTTCACAACTTTCCAGTCGCTTTCCTAGGTCTGATGTCAGGGTCCAAGCTTCACATCCATACATTAGAACTGGATACACGTAGTAATTGAGTACGCGGAGTCTTGTTTTCATCTTCAGCTTCTTATTCTTTAGAATATTTTCCAACTTGGAGAAAGTTGATTGTGCAAGTGCAATCCTTCTCTTGATTTCTTGCTCGCCTCTTGCATCGTCGGTAATTGTAGTCCCGAGGTAATTAACAGAGGTGGCTTGCTTTATTTGATTGTGGTTGATCTTAAGAGAGCATGGTATTCCTCCCTTCTTTGAAATTACCATGCATTCCGTTTTCTTGTAATTTAATGATAATCCTCTCTTGTCACTTTCTCCGACGACAACATCCAAAAGTCGCTGCAGGTCCTTCTCCGATTCTGCGATTAATATAGTATCATCCGCATACCGTATGTGTGTGATATTATGTCCTCCTACTTTTAATCCTCTTTCCTGTTCTAGGTTTCTAAGTATCAACTCACTGAAATAATTGAAGAGATCTGGAGACTTGACACATCCTTGCCGAACCCCCCTCTTAATGTTGATGTAGTCACTTAATTCTGTTTCTACCCTAACACATGCTGTTTGTTCCCAATGCAGATTTTGCAATGAATTGATATCATTTGTGTCTAGTCCAATCTTGGTTAAGTCTTAAAATAACTGATCGTGTCTTACTTTATCAAAGGCTTTTGTATAATCGATGAAACACAGGAAGACGTCTTTCTGCATTTCTACGGCCCTTTCTGCTATAGACCGCAGAACAAAAACAGCATTCTAGTTCCGGCATCTCTGACAAAACCAAACTGTTCATTACTAATTTCTGGTGTTAGGTTATTCCTTGCTCTTTGAAGTAGAACTCGCAAGATGATCTTTGTGATATGGCTCATGAGGCTGATGATTCTATGTTGCCCGCATTCCACTGCTCTAGGTTTCTTGGGAAGTGTAATAAATATCGATTTGCAGAGGTCATCTGGAAACTTTCCATCTTCATAGATCTTATCGATGACTTCAGTTAGTTTCATGACACCATAGTTCTCCAATGCTTCGACCATCTCCATTACTACTCAATCAGGACCAGCAGCTTTGTTCCTCTTCATCATGCTGATCGCTGACCTCACTTTTGAGAGCAGAATCCTAGGTCCTTTAATAGATCCTGCACAGTGTGAAGGTTCTTTTCTTACATCATCGAAAAGCTCGCCAATGTACTCAGTCCATCTGTTCAGTAACTCTTCCTTTTCAACCAGTACTGATACATCCCTTGCCTTGATGCATCCCGACTTAGAGCTCCGAAGCTTCTTCCCAGAAAGTACTCAAGATTATGTTAATTAACCGAAAAAGGATTAACGCTTTTGCTTGTGGGTTAAATAAAAGCTTTCTAGATTTAGGCATTTAAGGTGCATAAGAGCTCAGTATATACGTTTTAAATAGAGGATATATTCCAAGATTTCCATACGTCTGAGGGTGTAAGCACCATGCAATAACTTCTCATACGAGAGTCAAGAGCTATTAATAATATGCCAATGAGTTCCGACTGGTCCTCATTTTCAGTCATAAGAAGATGGAAATATTGAAACATGACCTGGATCTGCACATTACAATTTTCCTCTTTTTCAGATAAAGTTCATTACATTGTTTAGGTACTCTGCACTTCAAAATGTTGTAACAAGGATAATAAATATAAGGAAATAAAAAAGCATTCTTCCACGGCTACTTTTTCTTCTTTTCTCTAAAAAACTGTTCCTCTATATTCATGGCAAGATAAAGAGCCGTGCATGCTTTAAAAAATAAAAGGTTTTCAACTTATGATGCAAGTTATGATAACCGTGTAGGGTACTGGTAAGTCACAATGAAATAATTTCTGGTTTTGTATGAACCGCTTGGTTTTATGAGCTGTGATAAAAAAATAAAAAATAAAACAAGTATCAGCATATAATCATTCTAAGGTTATTACAGTTTAGGTAAAATCAAATGATATTGATGCCTGATATTCACTTTGACGTACAACGTACAAATCGCATGAGAGCGCATGATTGCAGCACTCCACAGGGCTCCAGTTCTTTTGATTATATTTGTATGTTCTACTGCATTGTATGTTTTAAGTTTATAACCAGCTGATAGAGTTATATGTCAGGACTCTACTAGACTGTTTCTGGAACAAATCAACAAGGTTGAAGTGAGTAATTTCAGTCAAAATTATTTTGGTGTTCTCGCCCTATTGGACTGAGGAAGGAAGCCATGCTCAGTTCATCCTATAGCATGTGCTCCACTAGAAGGTATCCATTATTGTCTTGAACTTGAATACAATAGAGGACTTGAATAGAGGACTTAATCCCACTGATCTTCCCACACAATGGGCTGCATTCAACTCCTCCTATTAGTAGCTACTGGTCTCCAAGTTTGTGTGAATGATCCTTGGACATACAATGCCCAGTCATTAGATGCTCACTTTGTTCAGAGTCCCCTTATCAGGAAGCATTTTCTGAAGAGAAGAATTTTGTACAATTCCAATAGCGATGCTTCCTTCCAGATTGAAATACTCAGAGCTGGAGACATTCACAGTAACCCTGGGCCTACTGCACATATTGTAAGTGAAGTTACACCACATGCTCGTGTACAACACAAGTACAGTCATGAGAGTCTTCTCACTATCCAGAATGACTGCAAGAAGCTATTACCACATGATGTTTATTCTACCATCAAGTCTCTTGGACTTAATCGTCAGAGGCCAACTCGTAGAGGAACCAGAGCGGGTCGGCAAACCAAGGCGCGGTCTCACCTCGTAACTACATCACCTCTTCAGACATCTCAACATGCCCCTGCTACACTACAGTCACCTACCTTCTCCGCAGCATACACAGTTACAGCAGAGCAGCATATCCCTGTTGTCGAATTTACACCTAGATATGACCAATGCCCTAGATACCTCAGCAGAAATATCAACAACCTTATCGAGATACCGCGAGTATGCATCAATTCTGCTGGACAGGACTCGCTCAAACTCTGCACTGCCAATTTCAGGTCATTGAGAAATGAGTCAGCAGCAGTAATGGACTACGTTTGTGACAGCAATGCCGACCTGTACGCTATAACCGAAACGTGGCTTACAGAGAATGACGCAGCAGTCATCAATGACATCGTCCCTACAGGTCACAAATTCCTACACCATCCGCGTGCTGGTCGTCGCGGCGGAGGAACAGGTCTTCTTCACAAAGATACCATTGATGTCCGTGAGGGCAAAGCTGGTGAGACAAAGTCATTTGAATTTGCTGAATATCATGTCACCTTTGGATCGTTTCAGCTCAGACTTTTCAATCTTTACAGACCACCTTACTCCGAGAATCACCGCGTTCCCATCTCCACGTTCTTATCTGAATTCAGCGAGTTTATACAACCACATCTGATGTCGAACATTCCTATTATTTTGACTGGAGACTATAACATTCATGTTGATGTTATTGATAATCCTGAGTCAAGATCGTTTAGAAATCTGTTAGAATCTATTGGATGTATTCAACATGTTAACGTAGCTACTCATGTACAAGGCCATACCTTAGATCTGATTATAACTCGTCAATCTGATGATATTGTATTGGGGCAACCTTGGTCAGACTCATTGGTGTCTGACCACATGTCTGTTTTCTGTACGCTTAAAGTTTGTAAACCTCCTTTGTCTGTAAATATGGTCTCCTTTCGCAAACTTTCCACTGTTAAGTTCGATGCACTTAATAATGACCTCGCTTCAAGTGAGCTTTGTTTAAACCCTCCTGATTCTCTTGATGACTTAGCCTCATCTTATAATTCTACTTTACGGTCTATTCTAGATAAACATGCTCCACTGTGTTAAAAAAAGGTAAATAATCGCCCCAGAGTGCCATGGTTTACTGATGATATAAGAATGGAAAAGAAGAAGAGAAGGAAGGCAGAAAAGAAATGGAGGAAATCTCAGTCTGTCTCTGACCACAATGCATTTAAGTTAGCTCGAAACAAGATGTTGTTTGTAATGAATAATGCTCGTACTAAGTATTATACCGACTGTATTACTGACAATAGCTCAAATCAAAGGAAACTCTTTGATGTAACAAAGTCCTTGTTGAACATGACAAAAAGTGATTCTGTCATACCTCCTAGTGTTGATAACCATGATTTTGTCAATGGACTTGGTGACTTTTTGAACAAAAGGTAGTCAAAATTCACTGTGATATCGAATCAGTGTTACATGAAGAGGATATCAGTGTTGATAATTCCTTGGAATACTCATCCTCATCCAATCCACCCAAGTTTGCAAATTTCATGCCGTTATCCCAAAGTGATGTTCGGAAACTTGTAATGAACCTCAGTAAGAAATCATGTTCCCTCGATCCAATGCCAACAAGATTGGTTGTTGAATGTTTAGATACCTTACTACCTGTGCTTACACAAATCATAAATTTGTCATTACATAATGGCAAGTTTCATTCAGGTTGGAAACTTGCCTTGGTTAGACCTATTCCAAAGAAACCCAATTCTGAAATAAACTTCAGCAACTTCAGGCCAATAAGTAATCTCCAATATGTGTCGAAGTTGGTTGAAGGGGCAGCCACTGCTCAAATTCAGGATCACCTCCTTCGTAACAACCTTTTCCCTTTAACACAATCGGCGTATAGAAAGTATCACAGTACAGAAACCGCTTTACTAAGAGTTAAGAATGACCTACTTATGGCAATGGACCAGCAGAAAGTTACATTTTTTGTACTTTTAGATCTCAGTGCCGCCTTCGACACTGTCGATCATAATATACTAGCTGAAATACTACAGTCTGATTTTGGGATTACAGATTCTGTTTTATCTTGGGTACAGTCTTACCTGTGCGATAGGGAGCAACAAATATCAATTGGTAACACCACCTCAAAGAAATTCGATGTTAGATGGGGTATTCCTCAAGGCTCTAGGCTCGGACCCCTCCTTTTTTCCCTTTATTCGAGTCGCCTTTTTGCTATCATCAAAGCATACTCTCAGCACATATCTTGTCACTGCTATGCAGATGATACCCAGTTATACATTTCATGTAGCCCAGTCAGGGAACAAGAACAGTCCTGTGTTTCAGCTCTTGAACACTGTCTAAGGGATCTTCGTAGGTGGATGTTAAGCTGTAAGTTGAAACTCAACGACAGCAAAACTGAATTTCTTATTATTGGAACACCTAGGCAAGTGTCAAAACTTAATATAAATTGTATAACAGTCGGAAATACTGTAGTCGAGCAGTCTATGGTTGCAAAAAACCTTGGTGTCTGGTTTGACTCTCAGTTGAACATGGAGACCCATATATCCAAAACATGCAAAGCAGCCTTCTATCATCTGTACAACCTACGTCACATTCGGAAATACCTAACTCGCACATGTATCATTACATTAGTCCATGCCTTTATAACAAGCAAATTGGACTACTGTAATGGACTACTGTTTGGCTTACCAGAATCTCAGATATGTAAATTACAACGTGTACAAAATGCATGTGCCAAACTCATCTGCAATGCCCCCAAATTCTCTCATGTAACCCCACTACTTCATGATCTGCACTGGCTTCTAGTTCGCCAGAGAATCAAATTCAAAATACTCCTCCTTACTTATAAGGCACTCCATGGCTTGGCCCCCATTTATCTCAGTGAACTCCTGACGTTAAAATCACCCACCCAGTCCTACAGGCTCCGTAGTTCCCATGATACCATGCTCCGGAGTCTTCCACCTTGTAAAACAAAGGTTACTCTAGGTGACCGCGCCTTTGTTAGCGCTGCACCCAAACTCTGGAATAGTCTCCCTGCCACAATTAGACATGCATCATCAATCAATGTGTTTAAAAATAACCTGAAAACCTATCTGTTTCAGGAAAGTTTTACATAGACATTTTCATTGTAAAGCATTCACAGGTTCCCCCTTAGCATCGATTTTAACTTTTAAATGTTTATTTGTATTGTTCCTTTTACTATCATTATGTCATGCGCAGTTGAGTATATACATATAGAAACTGCGCATTATAAATTTACAATTATTATTATTATTATTATTTGACCCATAATAAAAATTAATTAAAAAAAACACAATTCTTTGCGCATATCAATTTATATGCACATCCAAAAGGTGCTCTCTAAGTTTTAAATCATTTATTGATTCCTCTTGCGTCGTTCAATAGAATAGACCAATCTTGAATATATTAGAACAAGACTATTTGATATAAGAATATCTTTGCCTGGAGGTTATTCCTTTAAAAAATAATTTTTATTCGTTCTTTGGCGTGACGCACCCTCTCTAAACGGAACTATATCCCATTTGCATGCCCCCCAAAATGAAAGGTTAAATTCCAACGATATTTGAAAGACATTAACAATTTAGATTTTCCTTCAAAACGAAAGGGCTTGAAAATGGCTTTTAGTGGGAAAATAACGTCCATTAGTTGTCGAATCGACAAGTGATTGCATTCACCTAAGTAATAGTCTGATTTTCAGCCCATTTTACCGAATGGTCGTACGTTTTGTGCTTCACAAAGATTCAATCAGTTTAATTTCGGCCAATACACGTAGTAGGTAATTGATGTAGACAAATGCTCATGTATCTTTACAGCTCATTTCATGTATGTTATTACCAAGGAAACAAAGATGTCAGTCTGTCACTCAATAGTGTCTGACAGTGAAGTCTAGAGGGTAAACGGGTTTCCTTGCATAATTTGAATACTAGGACACTTGTTTAAATTTCACATATAGGACATAGTTACGTGACATATTCATAATTCCTGCAAAGTTCTTCAGTATTTGATGTTGGCTGCAAAAGGGACACAGTACCTTTAATGAAATGAATTGAAAATAAGCTGGGCTATATTATGGGGTTAACCGTTATAGAATGTGAATAACGGATCTGATGTCAGGCTCTAATGATACCGTCCAGGGAATATCTTAACTAGCTTATCAACCGTTAAACGTTTAACACATGAGACGACGAGTCCAATCATGAATTGTTATAAACATTTTCACAGGTTCCCCATATACTAATATGTAAATCAAAAGGAAAAAAGAATATGAGGTTTTGAGAAATGGCACTAATGGTAACTAATGAGATGTATCAGTTGTATTCTCGTGATTATTGAACATTCAATTGTGATTACTTTGTCGGGGTATGAGGCATTCGCGTTTTAACTTGAGGGGGTGAAACATCATGCAGCTACATCTTAAAATTAGAACCTCTCCAGTGAGGAAGGGGCCGCGTGCGTGTTGCCGTGAGACCCAAATAATTAAATAGCCTGTTTAGACAAGAGGAAATTTATACGAAACTCGTACTCGTGTATTTAAAAGTGACGTCGTATAAAGAATCATCGTAGGGTGAAAGAGGCGTACACATAATTAGAAACGTCGTTTAAAAGATAGTTTTATTGAAAAAGGTCAGTTAACATAGCAGCTGGCCAATCATCAGTGCACGCTCACAAATAATATTTCGCTGCATGAAATTGCATAAAATGTGACTTTTGTGGGCATGGATTAATATGAAAGAGGTTCAAAAAGCCGTAGAGATCATGCATTACATTACAGGACTTTTACGGTTCTTAAATGAAGGTGCTTTTACATGACCTTAGAACAAAATATTTTAAGAGTCCTTTAAAATAATTATTCTCCCCCTAGAATCTCATTTAAATGATGTGAGATGAGAATTTACGATATTTTTTTTCTTCATTTCATTTCATTTATTTTTCAGTTCTGAAAAATAATAAAATCAGTATACATTAAACATCAGTGAAGAAATTATGAACTTATTTTAAACAGAACTGGCCAGGGCTCCAAGATAAGCGAAGGTTTATGCCTTGTGAGCACTGACAATTAATTTCATGTACAAGTAAAATACATACATCAGGGGGTTTCTTGTGATGCAAAAGTACAGAGAAGAGAAGAATAAAAGGTATACACTAAACAGAGAGAGAAATAAAGAGAGAGAGAAAGAGAGAGAGAGAGAGGGGAGAGAGAGAGAGAGAGAGAGAGGGGGAGGGGGGGGGGAGATAAAGAGGAAGGGGGGGAAGGGGTGAAGTGAGAAGGAATTACAGTTGATTGCGCACTTCACATGTCGTTTGTTTGTTTTTATTATTGACAAAACTGTGCATGCGTATCCACGAAAGAAATAAATAGCACTGGAAAACAAGGTTCTCGAGAACGGTTATAAGTCCCCTAGAATGATTTTGAAACTGCGAAAAAATGTGACTGATGTGAAATTTGGAGAAATAGAGTACCAAATCATAAGCTGAGGAGACGTCGCAAAAAATTGCAGGGAGTGCCTTTGACCTTCCCCAAATGTCAACTCCCATAGGTTCACGTGCAAAGACAAGCTGATTATTCTTACCCTAGATCTCTTTGAATTGATTTACCTGTAATTTTAAGACATGGTAAACATAAGAGAGGCTCATAAATTTGCAGGAAAGTGCATTATATTTGCCTTCCCAACCCCTTCACAAGGCGATTGGCTTCTTGATTAAACTGTACATGGCGACATGCGCATTCGGGGGAAAAGAGACAACTCCTCATCTCTCATATAGATTAACACGGGAAAACAAGGTTCTTGAAAACGGTTTTAATTCCCCTGGTATGACATTGAAATTGGGTAAAATGAGACTCATATGACATTTGCGGATATGGAATACCACAACATACACTCGAAAAGCTGAAAAGACCTTGCATAAATTTGCAGAAATATGCATGGGTGCTTTTGACTTTGGAAACAATCTGAAATCCCACGGAAGATTGAATGCACTTATTGATTCAGAGCATGAATGCAAATATTAAATCGCGCATCAAAATATGGAAAAGTCACAACAACAAGGAAATAGCTAGCACATAATTCTAGATACTCGAGTGTCTGGTATATCGGGATTGGCTTCAATTAATCGTAACAAGATGAAGGAACCTGATAAATGTATAATGATTGGTTTGCTTCTGTTTATGCATGTGATGACAACCGCAAATGCTGTTGGTGAGTTACATTTAATAATTCGTTTGTACAGCAAGGTACAAAGCTTATCAATCTTGCAATTCTTAAGGGTGATTACGAAGCATTGGTACATGGTTTTCCCATGTGTATTATTGATAGGTGTGTTACCGTGCGTATGTACATATACTCTTTTCACACTGGTTTTGCTTAACCCCGTACTTTGCTTAGCCCCGTACTATCCTTAACCCCGGACTATTTGTTTGGCTTTTCACACTCGCTGTTTTTAGTCCCGTACTAGCGCCTATTCCGGAATAAGAAAATTCCCGCTGTTCTCACTGCATTTCGTTAACCCCGGATATCTTGTATGTTATGATAGGACATACTTCGCATCTGGCCAGCTGCGATACGCTCCATTGCGTAGTACCGGACTATTTTTCGTTTCTGTTCTCATTCATTTGCTTAGAGTTAGCACCACAATTGCGGAGTTAGCCCTGCTATTTTGCAGGGTTAGTTAACCCCGTACTATAGGTGGGGTTAGCCAACTTTAGCCCCCTTTGGTAAAAACCAGTCTGAACAGAAAGTGGAATAGGCTTAACCCCGTACTATAGGTGGGGTTAAGCAAAATATTGCCAGTGTGAAAACAGTATTAGTAACTTCTTCATATTGTGTTGCAACATACCCAGGATACCAGATCACCGTTTAGTACAGTCTTATGGTCTTTTTCTTTTAAAATTCACGTGTAGTTCTTGTTTTTAATCAGATGAAGATGAAGCCTGTTACTTAAATGCAATTGTATTTACAAGGGAGGGCGAGGCAGAATAAGACACATTATATTTTTAAAAAGTCTAACAAAACTTTACCAATGATTACGGTTAGAAAGTGAAACATGAACAAGTAAAATGTTAAGCGATTGAAAGAAATGAAACATAATATATTTTACAATAATTATTTTCGTTTCAACTGAACTGTTTTTCATCCTCCCCAGATTTACGGGATGGAAAACTTTGCCATAATGTCCTAATGCTCAGTCACATACATGGGACTAACCCGAAACTGACGACCAACCGAACAAACTTCATGCATATCATTACCTTATCTAGTTGATAACAGGGGTCCTTATATGCACAATCGAATTGATACATTTTCTTTACCCCAGCTGTTTATAGTAAGTGTCTAGTTCCCATTGTCAAATCGTGTTCCATCATGGAGTTCAAAAAGGGTCTTTTTGCAGCCCGTTTGGATACCTGATGAAATACCATAATTTGCATATCTATCGAACTGTACATCATGAAAGAATGTATCAAAGAACTTTTCTGAGTAATATTGATATAAGTAATCGATTTAGCCATTTAGTGATGCGATTCGACTAACGTAATTCCACAAAATATATAAACATCGGTAAATCATCCCTAAAAATCGCGCGTTTTTTAGCCATTTTGTTTTTCAAATAGTACAAATAATAATAATATTGCATTGTTTCGCTGAAATATGTCGAGATTGCTAAAGTCTTTGTTTTTATATAAAAAGTTGTACTTATATTGCATGATAGTACCAGTATTGCCAGCTAACATCTCTCAGGTTAGGAAATATAGCCATTTTCATTCACATACTGAGTCCCATTGACTATTGTGTGCGAAACATCGTAGAATTCTGTGTATTAGTAGCCTTTAAACAAGGCCACATGCCTGATAGACGCCGAGCGACTAAAAAGAGACTAATCGCGAAAACCTGAATGAACGCCAGAGCGAATTGTCCAGACCTGTGACATTCGTCATTCGGTCGCGCGTTCACTCCGGGTATCTAGACTCATCTCAGCCGCTTAGCCAGAGTCAACGAGGCCTTGTCAAAAGGCTAGTGTATTAGAGGCCGCACTGTTGAGATACTCGTTACCAACATGAATGATATGTTTAAACATACAGTTATCCCTGAAATAAATTGTACCTTTACATCATGTTGTACACGACATCATAGTTTTTGACCATTTGACTAGTCTAAGAGGGGATTATAATTTTCACTGGGATCAGATAGCTGGAAACTGGCAATTGGAGATAAATAGTTGTTGTATGGGTCCAGGGAATATGCATTGTTGGACTATTTAA